AGGTAGTTCAACTCACTAGTTCAACTCCCTCTTTGCAAACACACGGTATTAGCATAACCATGCATGTAATATTTGCAAGACCGAATCACATACAATAAATGGCTACGTAACTGCAAATTCTAAATAAATTATGGCTCGCTGAAAGGTTTGAGGGGAGTGTTCTACGTCATGGGACCAACTTTATTGTGTCTTTATTGGATCAAATATCCCAAAATTTTAGTCAGACCGACATTTTTCGTCTTTTATCCGTTTGTCGACCTACTTTTTATTCATATTTTACAAAAGCTGGGTAGTGTAACATGTGATATACACTTTTATTTTCTTTATCATGTGTTTAGATGCAGATGATAATTTGGATGAACACTTTAAAATCTTCAAAAGTAAATTTCTTGACGAAGACAGTAACATTAAAGCTGACGTTTGTGATGTACTTGAAAGGTGAAATACTCTAAATGTAGTTCTTGGAGAAATTCAACTTGAATTTTCAGTATTACAAAAGCGTATTTTCATCTTGATATGAGCTTAAACATTTGTTTTAAGGTTCACTTGGCTTCATGGAGAGTATGGAACAGCTGGCCCAAATGAGAAGATGCCATTTCCTCACTTATATGTCATGGTTGATGATAGTCAAGAAAAATCGAATGAAATTATAAAGCAAGAGATTGATACAGAATTTGGATGGGAAGCTTCGAAATACATTGATTTGCCACGTAAAGCTCCTAAAAAAGTAAATTTTCGATTGCTGTCTGATTTTCGCGCTGCAAGAAAGGATCAAAATGACGTTGGATGTCGTGGTACATTGACAATGATTTGTCGAAAGGTAGCTACTGCTAAGTGTTAATAAGGACTTTATTTGAAGAGGGGGACACGTAACAGCTGAAAAGCTGACAAACCTGTGGCCCTCTAACTAGATTATACAGGATTACAAAAAAACTGATAATGAATAAATATATAAATAATTACAAAATTCTATGATAAAAATAGCAGGACATATTAGAACAATATTTTGCTTTAACTTGCGCACATGTTGGTGTTGATAGTGATTCTGTTGACTGCCAAGGCGTGTTCAATTGCAAAGACTGGTTAAAAATTCGCGATGCTGTAAATTCTAATTTCATGAAATATAACATGGATTACTTTTACAAACCTTCTCACAATGACAGTGAGGTGCAACTTGGCGTTGGCTACAACGCGGTTTTGCGGTTCGATAAAGAAACAGACATCATGTCTATTTCTTTTGGTGAAACAGTTTTTAACAGATGCCTTAAAAAATACATGGAAAGCTTTCAATTAGATTTGAAAAATACAAATGACGAGCTTTCTCGACGAGTTTTTCGTAAAAATGAACTCGTTCACACACGCATTACTGCGAACAACAAATCCAAGCATAGTAAGATCACAGAGAACAATTATTCTTATTGGTGCCAATATTTAAAAAAAACCATGTTTAGAAATGCAGTCAAGGTTCAAAGTGATGTGACATTTTTTGAGGATGGTGATTCTGGTGCTCTTGTTTGCTTTTTGGATGAAAATGATGATTGGAAACCGTTTGCATATGCTGTTGCTGAAGTCGAAGGGGATGGCAATAAAAATGGTAGTGAGAGTAATGAAGACGGTAGTGAGGGTGATGCAGTTAGTTTTGCCAAACCTGCGAGGACTTTTATTTGCTTAAAATTGGACAAAGCTTTGAAAAAACTGAAACTTGAGAATGAGGAATATTTTGTAAGAAATGGTAAGATGCTATGTTAATGTTATTGCTGTTTAATGTTTTCTTAAACGTTAAGGCTTACATTACATTTAATGTTTTAGATTCGACGGGTATCGTCAAGTCGGTCCTTCGTTTTCTAAAAATAAGGAAATAATATCTTCCTGGAATTTTCAAAAAAACACCCTCATGCTCTTATTGGAGTTCAATGAGATAACTTTATTGAGTGTAATCAATTTTAATTAGCACTTATGACAAAATTAATGTAAACTATGATTCATTTAGAATTCGCGATTCCACCACAATGGTGAATCCAGTGTTGGGCAGTAAATCACAACACCTCACTTTTGGATTGTTTTAAAATTTGAAACTATTTACTTGTAATTAGATTAGCAGGACATAACTGATTCTTTTGAAATACTTATGATCAATTACATTGTTATAAAAAATGTTATATGTATCAAAGCTACAATTTATTTTCCAGCTCTTGTTTTACATTCACACGATCTACAAACACTACATACGCACAACAGCTACTGCCCAAACTTTAACTGGTATAAGTTGGGGGTCCGAGGACAAATTTAACTAGGTGGCTAAATTTCTATGGTAATATGGGTTACAGCTCCACAGCTCCCCCTGTTCTGCGGTCCCTACACAAGACTCATAGCACAATGTACCTAAGTTATCATTCTAGTATTTATAATTCATAAATCAATAGTTTGTGATTTCTCAGGCGTAGAAAACCATTTAGTTTGCGTCTGAAACTCAATGTTGTGACGTATCGTACTGACTCGTACAATAGAATGCTAAAACGACAAATTTCGAACTGGCAACTAACTTTTGTTGATAGATAACTTTACGAATTTTTGTCGAAGTCACAAAACTATTTGTTCAAGTTGATGGGAGTATGTTCCTTTTTTTCATACTTTTTATTGTCTACTTATCACATACAAAAATTATCACATACAAAAAATGGGTAGTGTAGATGGCTGTCAAATAAAAAGTGGCACATGTCAAGGAGCGAAGTAGATCCCAGGCTTCACATAAAATAAAACATGTCGGGTTCTAAGACAAACTGGCCCGATCAAGTGGTGAGTTTGTTGCTCGATACTGTCAGAGAAAGAGAGAGTATTTGGAATACCAAAAGTGAGCATTACAAAAACAGAAACACTACCAGCAAATACTGCAAGCAATCAAAGTTGAACTGCCAAACGTTGATTTGCCAAGCATCAAAGGTGAGTGATAAGATTATAATGGAGTAGAAAGAATTGCATTTTAGCGATGTATAAACATTGTTTATACTCTTTGGTTTGCCTTAAATCGCAAAGAAAAAATGTCTTGTCTTGCTTACATGGCAATGTGTTCAAACTTCTAACTCAGCTTGTTGGCATGCCAAAATTGGTAAAGGAAAACATATCCATCTGTAGCTTTATATGCTATTATTTGGATTACAATAAGTTTATTCTAATAAAATATCTGGCTTAAACTTTTAGCAAAGATAGAGCTTAAGAACATTTTATAGAGAAGAAGTTAAAAAATAAGAAAAAGCCAATGTGCAGGCAGTGGGGCTAGCGAAGTTTATGTATCAAAATGGAAGTTTTTTGACCAGTGCAGTTTCCTGGATGAAGTTATATCACACAATCATCAAGTATTTACAAATGCTCTTGATGAACGTTTTGCACAAGACAGAGAAAACCAATTAAATGATTCAATTATTGATAATGAAGATACAGGAAGTGAATTTAGTTTTATTTCAAGCTCAAAGAAGAGAAAACAATCATATAGTCCATTTCTTGAGTCAGCCGCATCTGCCTTGAACCAGTTGGCAAAACGAGCAACATCTGCTCCTGAAGACCAGTGGGATATTTTTGATAAAGATGTGGCACATGCAATGCATGGTCTGGCAGATAAAGATATACAAAGATGTATCAAGTTTGCCATACAATGGACTATTTTTCAGGCCACAGAGCCCCCACGGGCTCAATAACAACCATTTTATCAAGCAGATTAATCTATAAATAATCAGTTTCATCCACCGTTTTATTAAACTAGGGTATTTTACATGAACATGTTTCAATGATTAAACTTCTACATCAAAATAACTTACACATTTGTTTTTGAGTCTACTTTACTGGATTTATATATATATATATAAACGGCAACATCAACCATCAAAAAAAGTTTTCATATATTTTTTATATTCAAGCAAGGTGAATTTATTTCTTTGTTATAATTCTTTAGTTTGTCATTGTCCATTGAAAATCAACTGCCCCTCTTCAAAGAAATAGTCTTTAAGAGCATTTTTGATTTGTCTTGCATGAATTGAAGATGGGCGGACACCAGCATCTGGCTGGATGTCACATACTTCATTTTCATTGCCTAATTGTGTTCTCCAAGAACCATTCACAACATTTCCTAATTCATCTTCAAAGTCCATACATCCTGGATGTGTGTAAAACTGGTCCTTCTGAAGGTTATCAAAAGGTTATGCAGTGCCATACAGGCCCTCACCACCTGCATTGCATGTGAAGCATCCAACTCCAATGTTTTCAAAAGACATCTGAATCGACTACACATCAATACAAATGCATTTTCGACAATTCTTTGTGCTCGTGAAAGTCTATAGTTAAAAACTTTCTCATCACCTATTGCAGTCTGGTGTGGATATGGTTTCATTAGATTTTCATTCAAAGCAAATGCCTCATCTCCAAGCAGAAAGTAAAGTATAGGCAATAATGTATCTCTTAGTTCTTCAGCTTGTGGGAAATAGCATGTCTTGCATATGTTTTTAAGGTGACTGTCTTTAAAAATTCCTCCATCTGACTGGTTGCCAGGGGCTCCAAGATCAAATGAGATGAATTTAGCATTTGCATCTGCATTAGCCAAGAGGACTATGCTAAAATGTTTTTTATACTTAAAGTACTCAGGGGCTGAGTTTGGAGGTGCACGCAAATTGATATGTTTACCATCAATGGCCCCAACTGCATGGGGAAAGTGCCATTTGCACTTAAATTCATCAGCAATGTGTAACCATTGTTGCTTTGTTGTGGGTGGCTTTAAATATTCTTCCTTCAACACATTATACAAAGCTTCACAGACCTTAGGTACAATTTTTGAAATAGATGAAACTGATATTCTGAAACTGTACATGAACCTTCCAGTGGCAGCACAGAAAAAATTCTGAGTTCAATTACTTCTCGTAGTTTCAAGTCATCTTCAAAAACTGGTAGATTTGATATTTGTGTTTTAGGAGATTCTAAGTCCAGTGACATTCATTTTGTGTAATATTTTGTAGATGAACTTTCCACTCCCAACACAGTCGAATTTAAAGAACGTTTTCTCACAAAGGATCACAAAATTAAAGATAGCGTCCATGAAAATTTGAAAAGGTAAATGTTTTTTATCGCTTTTACGTCAATTTTGACTTATTTGCCACGAGGAAAAGGCATCGAATATCTTCACTTTTCCACATTTGCAGTTTTCCTTGGCTTTGTGGCAAGTATGGTACATCACGTCCTACTGATGGGATGAATTATCGTCACATGTATCTTGAAGTTGACGAATCAAAGACTGAAAATGTTTTAAAGCAAGAAATCGATGACTTATTTGAATAGAAAGCTTCAGATTACATCGAATTACGTTATGTTGACCCACGTAAGAAAATAGAAATCCAACAGCTATCCAACAATGTTATGGTAAGTCGAGAGGATGAGCCCAATAGATCAATTTATGGCGCGTTGCCTTTGTTCTGCTGTAAAGATGAACAACGTTGACTTTCGCTCATGTTGGTTACTTAAAAAGTATTCCCAATAGGCAAAAGCGTGATTTATATCTAAAACTTTTCGTGATTTATTCTGAAACCTTTTAAATATTAAACTTAGTTTGGAGTAAGTAAATCAGTTTTTATGAAGTACTACTTCAAGGTAAATGAAGTATCCAGTTGCACAAAATCTAGGAAAAGAAATTGAATTTCGGTAAAAACGCCTTCCATCATGTCTTCCTATGATAAGTTTATTTGTGCTTGGTTTCATTGGCTTTCATAAAACCCGAGTTTGTGTGGCATTGTTTGAATTTTCAATGAGTTTTGCATTCAAAATGCAAATTGGGAATGAAATCATGAAAAGAAAATAGCTTTTGGTATGTAAGAGGAAACGAAAGCTTCACTCACCTGGCGAGATATATTTTTCTTGAGCAACATAAACAACTGCAGCAACACATTGTTGACATATACCATGCTCAAATCGAGCAGGATTTTCACACATCTAAACAGGTAGAACCAGTCTCTTGTAATGCTAGAGAAGCATAATTATTGATATAGATTTATACATTATATTTGCTTATTTGATTGTTCAAATTGGACAGTATATGGTTGAATTTTCAACTTTTGTATTGGATATATTGCCTGCACGTATATAAATGCTGATTCCCTGTTATTATTGCAAAAAATTTTCGTTAGGCTGATTGAAAGAGGATGGAGGACTAGCAAATTAAGTGTCAAGGGAAAATTTAAAAGTGGTTGGTTTACCTTTGGAGAAGCAATACATATATTCAAAAGCGGTAGATATTCTGACGATAGTTCATAAACGCAACCTTCTACGGAACATTCAGGATCTTGGACTACGTTTGGCAATAAAACTGATTTTGAAAACTCTCTTAAAGACACTGCTTCTGTTATTTCTGTCCTCGTTTATTAAAAACAAGTCTATAGCCAAATAGCAATCCCCAAAGACGTGATCTTATTTTGCACCGTAGTTGTATAGACAACATAAATGCAAGCCCCAAATTCTTCAAAGCAAAAGATATTTTCTATTAAGTACAGATGGCAGTAGCTACAAATCATTATACCTGTTTTGAGTCACATTCAAACCATATGCAAAGTACAAAAAAAGACCCAATTTCAGGCTCGTGTTGACTTCAAACTTCCATCGAGAGAAATCGGAGACTTTTTCATTTCTAAATAAAAAACAAGGTTTGTGAATATTCTATGAAATTTACTGATTTTTTTTTTTCAATTTAAAGTTTTACCTTTATAGCTTATTCACGGGTTTCCTTACTGCAATAATTTCAAGCTGATTGGTCTCACCGTTTTTAAAAGTTCCTTTGTTTTGTTCTAACTACAAGAAGTGAAGCAGATGGTCATTTCACTCTCCAAGTCTAAGTATCAACTTTTTTGTTGAGCTGATTTAAACTCATAAACTTAAAAATATCAATCTCACATTTTAGCTTTATGTACCTCTTTTTTGTTATCTAGTTTGGGGACAAAACATTGAAGTTTTTTATCATTTGGCAAAAAGCAACCCATTGATTTATTCACAGGAATTTCAATGCTCTCCTTGTTGTAATTTGCAGATTATTTCGAAGAACAGGATTTGTCTTTTGATGGTTTATAAAACTGTTTCGTTTCGAGGGTGCAGATTTTTGTCTCGAATCTGTCGACTCAACTTTGTATTTTGAGATTTTTTTCTAGAAACGTCATAGCCACCGTCCACCAAAGCTTTCCAAATATCTCTCACGTGGACACTGTCCTCGTCTGATTTACGCTTGGTATTTTTTTTCCTTGAATAAATGGTGTTTCTTGAATTTGACGGTTGCATTGTGCTCTTTTTTTTTAACATTTCTGAGTAGTTAGTATTTTGTCGATCTAATTTCGAATAACGATTATGTTCAATATGTTCTTCTTGGAACTTGGAGTAGTAAGAGTCATCTTTGTTTTCTTCTGTTGAATTAATAAGTGACATGTTTGTTACTCTGCATTTAGTGTTGTTTTGTGAAGCACGATTCTCCAGCAAATTAAAGTCATTTTCTGTCGAAGAATAGCACGTTCTTGAACAAACCGATAACTTTTTAATGATTAGATCTTTGTAAACATCATCGTTTATTTTTACGCTATCACTAGAAGATAATTCCACATTACAGTGAGTTGATTTTAGATGATTGTCGTTATCATCATGTGAGCTACTAACATTATGAATATCTGCATCATAGATCTGTGTTACATGATTTCTTGCTATCTAAATCCCTTTCACCTTTAGAAAGTTGACCAGTCCGAACATCAACACCAGCTGCCTGTTTGGAAGCATTAGAATCATGAATATCGATAACATTGTCATTTGCTTCTTTATTTACAGAAATGATTCGTTGATTTTGTGCAAAGTCATTTCTATCATGCCCTTTTACACCATCACCATGATCTAGTTGAATTGTCTCACATTGTTCTGCCAGCGACTGCCTACGGAGATCAACGGTCAAGATGTTTTGAGAGATTCGTTGGCTGGCTGAAGAAAACCTTGTTACATCCGGACTTTGGACGTTTTCATAAACTTGAAAACCATCGAAAGAGTTCTTGAAGCAATCTAGAAGTGAATAGCACAAAAAATCCAAGCTAAACAAAATGATAAAACTTTGCGACATTTCATTTGTAGAAATATCTGCTCATCTCAATATAGAGATTCAATCATCAATAATCAATCATTGATCATCGTTTTCTGAGACAAACCGTGATTGACCTGTAATTCTTAATACTGAAGAGTATCGTAGTGTAAATGAAAATACATGCTCACTTTTTTGATCATATGTTTGATTGGTCGTTCATTGTTTCGTGAATGCTTTAGTTTAACATTAAATGGAAGATCACGTAAACCAGTTTTTATCACCAATTGTGTTTTTGATGGCTCAGCTATGACCCTCTCTTTTCTTAGGTCATTGCAAAGGTATTTACTGGGTTGCTGGAAAGAAATAGAAAATTATTCTTTGATATATGTTTTCTTAAAACTCCACAAGAACATAGTCAAATCTATTTTATAACATTAGAACAAAGTAAATACTTTACAGTGCCAGACTGCAAGTTTCAGTTTGGTGGAAAAGCAGCTGATAAAATTAAGTGACATACGCTTTGTTGTTAATGAGAAGTTAAAAAAGATTTCATACAACAATAGAATCAAGTTGCCAGCAATACCTGATAATGAAATGGACTTTACAAATAATGTTTGTATTCATCGTTCATTTCATACTTTGATACTTCCATAATCATTTGTTACAATAAGTTGGTATAAAAATGAATGCATCAAAATTCTATATTTTTTACGGAAATTCACTCTCCATTTTTCTTTCCTTTTCATAAACACAAACATGCTAGTAATAAAATAACACAGAGGTTTTTAGTTTCGTTGGTACAGTCAACTAAGTTGATATTTTGGTTTCCAGAGAAACGAAAGAGCTTCTCGATCCGTTCGTAGCGAGTAGAATGAGACTTATTTATTAAACTCAGGATTTGAACAAAGTTATTTTCCAGAATGCAGTCTATGTTTAAGGTTTTAGCATGTTTGTAGATTCCGGGGACTCTGTAGCATATTCATAAAAAACTGAAGGAAGTCACGGTCCATTCCTATCTCGAAATACGTTTTTCTAAACAAAATTAAAATCGACTAAAACAGAACATCTCTCCTTGTACCTAGTGCATGGTATTTCATATGTCGTTATATTTTGTAACTGTTTGAGGCTCTAACAATTCATTGACTTGTTATCAATTAGGATCATGGGATTGAGACGAAAATCTTCACGACCATAAGTAAAGATAAGTTAGGTGAGCCAGCTGGTAAATGCCTTATGATTACATGAATCTTAATAATGGAAACATCGCTTTTAAATGTTGTTTAAATGTTAGTAATAATATAAATAAATATTTACGAAATGAACTTACATGAAAATAGTTTTATAACCATTAAGCTAGTTAAGTAAAGGAGAAATACATTTTTATAGGTTTTATTATCTGTGGATTTTACAATGATTCACAGTTTGTTTATCATCAACCATTCAGGGTGAGTCGTTAGTGACAGTATGTATTGGTTTTATATTTGTTTGCTCTCAAAGCTCTTCTGTTGGTTTTGTACGTATCAGCTTGTGATTATTGTGAGAAGTACTTTAAAATTATTTGAATGAGGTAAAATGAGATTAGTTTCAGTAAGATATTAAAGGAAAGCTTGAACAATGTCAGAAGCCAGTGAAGGTAGATTATGAGAAGTATCATGTGACAGGATTAATATCCAGAAAAAATAAAGAATGTCATAAAAATCGTGAGATATTACCTGATATCTGTAATTTCAATAGTGTTGAAGTCAGTTAGATGATGCCATTTTGATGATTTCAGCTTCCTCAATTGTTTAGTTATCACAACTTTACACCAAATGGGTTACTGTGAGTCACTAGGTCATATGATGTTTTTCATGTACATTTAGGGATATATTTCTGGAAAAACATTGGAGAAGTGTTTTGGGACGCTCTGTTTGTGATTATTTCTTCGAAGCTCAAGGAAAGGTAAATGAATTTATGTGTAAATTGTTGTTTGTGCTTGTTTGGTTGAGAAGTTTTAAGGTACTTTCATGAACGGTTTTCATGTTATATTTGTCTGATAAAAATGCTCCTAAACAAATTAAATATCATCTTTTATGTTCAGGCTACTTCTCCAGAAGACATTCCTCCTGTAATTGCAACAGGATTCAGTTATCTCATCAGTATATTTCGCCATGATCTCTTCTTTGTTTCTGTTGTTGAAAATGAAGGTTTGTGTTTATATTAAGGTTAGTTAATGTTTTAATGTTTATTTTGAATCAATTGCCTCTAATGCAATCAAGGCATTGATTGCTAGTTTTAATTTAAAAAGTATGCATTACATTGCAAAGAAGTGTTATCACTCAACAAAAGGCATTGCATTAGGCATTCTTAGTGGTAGATAAAAATAATGTAGCTTTCATATCATCAACATGTGGTGAACACTTTCATGATTATTATTATTGATGAATTGAAAACATTCCTTTCCAGTTCCACCTTTATTTGTGATTGAATTTCTTCATCGAGTGGTTGACTTGATCAAAGAATATTTCTCTGACTGTACTGAAACAATCATTAAAGAAAATTGTGTCATTGTATATGAGGTTTGAGATTAGTATATTTTGTAGAGAATCCAGCTGTTTGATAGATGAATTTCAATTTTTTTCTGTTGTGTGTGATGTAAAATATGATGTTATATCTTTATATTCTTCAGTTATTGGAAGAGATGTTGGATAATGGATTCCCTCTTGCTACAGAGTCAAATGTCCTTAAAGAGTTGATAAGACCTCCTAGTATAGTTAGAAATGTTGTTAATAAAGTGACTGGAGACAGCAAGTAAGAACCTTCCTTATGGTAAACATACAAGCCATGTTTTTATGTAGTGATTTATATGTTGTTCATATAAGGATCAGATATAAATATGAAGCAAATCCGTAAAGCCACTAAACATTTCTATATTTGCATTGTTTTTTATATGCAACTTACTACAATATTTAGTTAAATTTGTTTTAGTTTACACATTTATGATCATTCTACATATAATTTAAGTTAAATATTTCATATTTTCCTAGTATGAGCAGTCATCTCCCAACTGGTCAATTGTCCAATGTTCCATGGAGGAGAACTGGTGTAAAATATGCAAATAATGAGGTACGTAGCTATATTCACATTGCTCCATTAAGAAATTTGAAAGAAAATCCTTTTTTATTCTTTGTTTTAGTTGTAATGTGATGAGTGAACTTTTTTCTTTTGTTAATTAGTTGTAATAAATATTGCTAATTAGTTGTTAGTTCTAATTATTCATAATTAGTTCTAATTAATTCTATTTATGTTATAGATTTATTTTGATGTAGCCGAAAGCATTGATGCCATCATTGATAAACAGGTAACAACATTATAATACTGTGGATTTCTTGTTCCCTTTGTGGAAGATGTATGACAAAAATATGTTTGTTGTTTTTGTTTGATGTTAAATTAAAACTAAGGACATGTACGAACTGAAAACTTATGGCATGTTTAAATTCCTAAAATTTTCTGTTTTGTGTAGGGCTCCACCATATTTTCAGAAATACAAGGAACTGTAAGTGCCTTCCTTTTTTTATACTTTGTTATATGTACTCTCTAGTACAACATTTTAAAGATTTTTTCACCTTTTTTCAACTTTGTTCTTTCAGATTGACTGCAACTGTAAATTATCTGGCATGCCTGGTATATTTATGATACTTTGTTATATCTCTAGATTAAACTTGAATTTATCTGTTGATTAAAGATTTGTATTAATTATAGATCTCAACATGTGTTTTACAAATCCTCGTATCCTTGAAGATGTCAGTTTTCATCCTTGTCTTCGCTTCAGAAGATGGAAGGTACGTAAATGTGAATGTTGAATATGGATTGTCTCTGGTCGAAGTCAACACAAATTATTCTCAACATGACTAATAACAATTGTCTTTTTACATTGAACACTTTTCTTTCAATCATTCACTAAAACCGCGTTCAAATGTCTGTGTATTTTAGTCTGAACGAATTTTGTCATTCGTCCCCCCGGATGGTCATTTTCGTTTAATATCATATAACGTGGCAACCGGGTGGGTGTTTTAGCAGTTATATTTTCATGATGAAATTGTCTATTTTGATGGTGTTTTTTTTGTTTAGAGTAAATATGCTACCATTGTTTGCGAAGCCTCGTGTCTTGTTTCAAGAGGTTTATCAACTGTTGAAATTATTTTAAAATATTTTTTATTGATTGAAATAAATTAAAAAGTTTGATTTTTCTACGTTTTAATTTGTACGACTGTTCAAAACATTGATTCGATGGTCGTCTTTTACTTGGTTGTTTCAGGGTGGAAGTGGAAGATTTGAATTGTCGATAAGTTCAAAACCAGTAATGGGTAAAAATGTATGTATTTATAATCATGTCAATTTATTAAACTGCTGTTGCATCTTCTTGCATTTATAAACTTAAATATATAACCTAAACTTTTTTCATACGTATTATCTCAAAGCATTTTGTATAAAACTAACTACATCGTCCTAACGCAATCATACCAAGTCAAATATTGTATACATTAACTTTTTCAAAGTCTTTTCACTCATTGTTTCCATATTTTATTTAGATCGAGAATGTTGTCGTGACTGTTCCATTTCCTAAACAAGTTCACAACCTTAACTTGACTACAAACGGTAAAAACGCTCATAAAATATTAAACATTACAGTCTGATATTTCATTGCTCTTCATTGATGTTTCCCATCAATATTTATGACTTGTGTTCCATGTTTTCAGTTGGTACCTATTCATTTGATCCAATCAAAAAAGAGCTTTCATGGGAGGTAGGTTCATGAGGAAATTGTCACGATCACGTGGTTATGTAAATCTAACGTTACATTAAACAATTTTAGATCGGTAAAATACAATCACAGACACCGTCACCTAACATCAAAGGAAATGGAGGTAAAACCTGTTTTTCTTTTAATTTTTGCCCGTCTCAGTTGATTTACAGACGTCTTGCCATGTTTTTCAAGAAAATATTTTCAATTTTTTTGCATGCAAAGCAAGATCTCCCTTCACAATATTTTTTGCTCACGAAGTAAAGTAAGGTCGATCTTGCCAGTAACCATTCCTTGGTCACAAAGTAAGGTCGATCTTCCCAGTAACCATTCCTTGGTCACAAAGTAAGGTCGATCTTCACAGTAACCATTCCTTGATCACAAAGTAAGGTCGATCTTCCCAGTAACCATTCCTTGATCACAAAGTAAGGTCGATCTTCCCAGTAACCATTCCTTGGTCACAAAGTAAGGTCGATCTTCACAGGTCGCTATCACTATAGTTATAATTTTAAATTGTATTCTCTTTTCTGATAATTGGTACTATCCCCCTTCCACTTTGGTATTCACCTTTAAAGATCTGATTTCCTACCATAATTAAACAACGTGGTGATGTGAGAATCGCTCTGATCTTTTTATGAAACTGCTCTCGTTTCATTTCGTCTTATGTTACTTGTCGTCAAATTCTTGCTGTGTGTTGGTTTTTTGTAGTATATTGCTTCTTATCATAATCTTTGTTTTTTTATGAAAAAAATTTATGCATATCTCCATAATCTTTTAATGTCTTTCCTTTTGTCTAATTTCCAATGTTTATATTTCAGATATCTTTAAAAAGCGATGTTCCACCTTCGTAAGAAACACCAACTAAATTCGTAAGTGGTTTTTTACTGAGTAACGTTTATAAAACCAGTTATAATTGGATGATATACTAAAATAATTCCCAAACCAAACGTTCTCTATGACACAAAGTTAACATAACTTCCCTCAGACATGATTTATTTATCAATACTCCTTAATCATAAACATGCAACAGTCTGCAACACTACCATCACAAATTTGTAGAAACCTGTCTCCCTTTCGCCTTCTTTCATCAGTAGCATTTTTTTCTTTTGTTAAATTTCAAAATATATTCATTTGCGGCTTTGGGATTGAAAGTCGATAGACTGAATGTACATGGAGAGGTAGGGACAGTTTGCATGGTTTGTTGTGTATGTAAGGGTACACTTTGCATGGTTTGTTGTGTATGTAGGGGCATGGTTTGTTGTGTATGTAGGGGTACACTTTGCATGGTTTGTTGTGTATATAAGGGTAAACTTTGCATGGTTTGTTGTGTATGTTGGAGTACACTTTGCATGGTTTGATGTGTATGTAGGGGTACACTTTGCATGGTTTGTTGTGTATGTAGGGGTACACTTTGCATGGTTTGTTGTACAAATTGGTGTTCATTTTAATCTTGAACAAATGACTTGAGTCCAACTAATGTTATATGGTTTCTGATGTAATTTAGAACTACAAGCTATTAAAGGAGTCAAGACACAACAGCTTGACGGTATAAGATAAGAACATAAAATTTTGTTGAATGAAGCACAACACAACATTTACGCATGGTTAACAATTCGCGAATCTCCTTCCTAATCCTTCGACACAACAAATTTTGATTAGCTTTCGAAAAGATAATTCAAGTTGTGTTTTTTTCAACATGTATGCATGTTTGACAAAAAAAATGTATCGTCTACTGGGACTGCAGTGGCAATTGAACTTTACCATGGAAAAAAAAAGCAAAGTTTTGAATGCAATCTTCAACTACATTGAACGATAAAAATGCGTCAATGCAACAATACTGTACACGCAAAAAAGTTATAGTCAGAGAAAAATTTCACTTGGAGCAACTGTGCAGTCACTGTGAGTGCAATGTACAATGTTAAAAAGGGAACCGTTCTAAATGTAGAAGGGAGTAAAAATCTGACTTGTTAAAGTTATTAGTAGTTTTTAGTACCCAATGGGAATCAAGCTTTAGAGAGTTTGTTTCCACTAGCTGAAAATTTTATACATTTTGCCAAACAAATTATAGTATGGTTGATTGTTCAATATTGCTTGGTTTCTTGTTATTTTTCTAGTGTTACATGGATGCTTGAAGCATATGGAGTTGTTCCTCCGAACAAGAAGTTGGCATTCCACTATTCAACGTGGCTTCAATTCTCTCCGTTTTTCTGGTGTTACTTGGGTACTTAGAGCGTATGGATTTGCTAAACGTATGTAAAGTTTTGATTCTCGTTTATGATACATAGCGTTCCCAAGTTGCAATTGGGTATTGTTTCTAAGTTTGTAAGAGATTTTTCGATCAAAATTTTATCTGTTGTCAACATTTCTAATTATGTTCTTCCTGAAAATGAATTTCTGTCTGCAGAAACCAATCATTAAATTTATCAACATGCTGCTTTATCCACAAAAAATGCTAAACGATCATATGAGGCAGCTGCATGGCAGTTTTGAATATCATATGATTTTTACAATGTTTTATTGAATTTTTAATTTCAGGGAATTTGATTGGTAGTCTTGACGGTCATTATGGATTTACCTGCAAACATTGGCTCATAGATCCTGCCAATAGAGATTTTATCTCGTTTGAGAGGAAGAGAGTTTTAGAGAAAAGTCGCATTAAAAAGTAAGTTTCCCAGTTAAATCGCAACAAAGTAAATGGTTTGAACCCGGGAGTATCGTTACATGTTTTTAAGTGCAGATCGTCCAGGCTGGTTAGTCCTGAGAAGGACTGTTGTTGACTTTTGACTCTGAAGATGACTACAGCTAAGATTGTCGTAACGTCTGTCAACAACAACAAAAACAATCCTTCTCAGGACTATACCAACCTGCGCGATCTACATTTAAGTTGCAACATTAATTGTAGTTTTGAACATTTTTTTGAAAATTCAAAATATATCAATGACACAATGAAATTGTAGCCTGTGGGAACATAAAATACTCGCGATTTGATATCATTTATATTAGTTTGTTAGTTTGATATGACAAAACAGAACATACGTGAGTGTCTACACTGTAGTGACAAAACAGAACATACGTGAGTGTCTACACTGTAGTGACAAAACAGAACATACGTGAGTGTCTACCCTGTAGTGACAAAACAGAACATACGTGAGTGTCTACACTGTAGTGACAAAACAGAACATACGTGAGTGTCTACACTGTAGTGACAAAACAGAACATACGTGAGTGTCTACACTGTAGTGACAAACAGAACATACGTGAGTGTCTACACTGTAGTGACAAAACAGAACATACGTGAGTGTCTACACTGTAGTGACAAAACAGAACATACGTGAGTGTCTACACTGTAGTGACAAAACAGAACATACGTGAGTGTCTACACTGTAGTGACAAAACAGAACATACGTGAGTGTCTACACTGTAGTGACAAAACAGAACATACGTGAGTGTCTACACTGTAGTGACAAAACAGAACATACGTGAGTGTCTACACTGTAGTGACAAAACAGAACATACGTGAGTGTCTACACTGTAGTGACAAAACAGAACATACGTGAGTGTCTACACTGTAGTGACAAAACAGAACATACGTGAGTGTCTACACTGTAGTGACAAAACAGAACATACGTGAGTGTCTACACTGTAGTGACAAAACAGAACATACGTGAGTGTCTACACTGTAGTGACAAAACAGAACATACGTGAGTGTCTACACTGTAGTGACAAAACAGAACATACGTGAGTGTCTACACTGTAGTGACAAAACAGAACATACGTGAGTGTCTACACTGTAGTGACAAAACAGAACATACGTGAGTGTCTACACTGTAGTGACAAAACAGAACATACGTGAGTGTCTACACTGTAGTGACAAAACAGAACATACGTGAGTGTCTACACTGTAGTGACAAAACAGAACATACGTGAGTGTCTACACTGTAGTGACAAAACAGAACATACGTGAGTGTCTACACTGTAGTGACAAAACAGAACATACGTGAGTGTCTACACTGTAGTGACAAAACAGAACATACGTGAGTGTCTACACTGTAGTGACAAAACAGAACATACGTGAGTGTCTACACTGTAGTGACAAAACAGAACATACGTGAGTGTCTACACTGTAGTGACAAAACAGAACATACGTGAGTGTCTACACTGTAGTGACAAAACAGAACATACGTGAGTGTCTACACTGTAGTGACAAAACAGAACATACGTGAGTGTCTACACTGTAGTGACAAAACAGAACATACGTGAGTGTCTACACTGTAGTGACAAAACAGAACATACGTGAGTGTCTACACTGTAGTGACAAAACAGAACATACGTGAGTGTCTACACTGTAGTGACAAAACAGAACATACGTGAGTGTCTACACTGTAGTGACAAAACAGAACATACGTGAGTGTCTACACTGTAGTGACAAAACAGAACATACGTGAGTGTCTACACTGTAGTGACAAAACAGAACATACGTGAGTGTCTACACTGTAGTGACAAAACAGAACATACGTGAGTGTCTACACTGTAGTGACAAAACAGAACATACGTGAGTGTCTACACTGTAGTGACAAAACAGAACATACGTGAGTGTCTACACTGTAGTGACAAAACAGAACATACGTGAGTGTCTACACTGTAGTGACAAAACAGAACATACGTGAGTGTCTACACTGTAGTGACAAAACAGAACATACGTGAGTGTCTACACTGTAGTGACAAAACAGAACATACGTGAGTGTCTACACTGTAGTGACAAAACAGAACATACGTGAGTGTCTACACTGTAGTGACAAAACAGAACATACGTGAGTGTCTACACTGTAGTGACAAAACAGAACATACGTGAGTGTCTACACTGTAGTGACAAAACAGAACATACGTGAGTGTCTACACTGTAGTGACAAAACAGAACATACGTGAGTGTCTACACTGTAGTGACAAAACAGAACATACGTGAGTGTCTACACTGTAGTGACAAAACAGAACATACGTGAGTGTCTACACTGTAGTGACAAAACAGAACATACGTGAGTGTCTACACTGTAGTGACAAAACAGAACATACGTGAGTGTCTACACTGTAGTGACAAAACAGAACATACGTGAGTGTCTACACTGTAGTGACAAAACAGAACATACGTGAGTGTCTACACTGTAGTGACAAAACAGAACATACGTGAGTGTCTACACTGTAGTGACAAAACAGAACATACGTGAGTGTCTACACTGTAGTGACAAAACAGAACATACGTGAGTGTCTACACTGTAGTAACAAAACAGAACATACGTGAGTGTCTACACTGTAGTGACAAAACAGAACATACGTAAGTGTCTACACTGTAGTGACAAAACAGAACATACGTGAGTGTCTACACTGTAGTGACAAAACAGAACATACGTGAGTGTCTACACTGTAGTGACAAAACAGAACATACGTGAGTGTCTACATTGTAGTGACAAAGCACATGAAATACCAAGAAACTTTAAAGTTTTTGAAACGTGAAAAAAGCGTCATATTTCTTAGCAAGTTGCTATGCCACCATTGTGTAACTTTAATCAGTTTTGTTTTAATTAGTGCTGTATATCGTATTTACAGTGGTTTTTAAGCAAGTAACTGTAAAAGATCCTATGTCATTATTCTTTTCCTATAAAATACAGATACTAATCAGCTGCTATGTTTAAAGTACTTAGCATGTATTTTTTCTTTTTCTAAATACCATTGTTAGAAAAAACTGTTAGGTATGTTTGAATTTCATCTATGAAATTTATAGTCTGAAGAGATTTTTCATTTGTCTTACCGTTGGTTAGTCTATTTCGTTTGATTTGTTACAATACTGTTCAAAATTTCTTTTTCTTAACTAAAATATCTAATAGAAAACGAAGTGCCTGTACATATCATCTGTACATTTCATCACCTTGATGAATGGTGCAAAATTTAACATGACGTCGTTCATAATATTTTGCTGGTTGTACATACCATAAAAATCTTGATATCGTACACACATAAGAATATAGAAGCTCTCTGCTTTGCTTGCAGCAATTATTTGTAAACGTTTTTTTATTGCAGCAAGAGTTGGAGTTTTTGGTTAACCTAATGTACCATTTGATAATAAAACTTTTATAAACTAAATAACAAATAGTAAAATTGATAGAGAAGTTTACAAAGTTAGTCAGAATTGCTGCAGTACATAACAAACCTTCCTTTCTCTGCTAACAACAGTGAAATTATTGAAATAGCATAATATTTGAAAGCATTTATTCGTTCTAAAATTAGGAACTGAGCACTCTAGCTACGTGCAGTTAAAGTAACTAAAAATACAGCGTCTTCAATATGTTGAAAGTATGTTATAACTTATAACGAACAAATGATTCTTACTGTTAAAATGTATGAGAAAATTTTCTTTTGTGTTTTGTGTTCCTGCGTTCTAAACAAAGTTTGAAAACATCTCATATAAGATATATTAAGCTTATTTGCATCAGGATTCTAGTTTTTTCTATTCCGAATATAATACTTGTAAATTTTCCAAATATTTATTCACACTACGCAGCGCTGCGATAACACTCAAAAATCTTTTATCAGTGTACTTCCTGCTGTGATTTTTTAAATAGATGATATTGCAAAACAGGTATTCGACACAGAATCCAGAGCAAAGTAATTTATGATCCCATGTATATGATTAGTCAATTTTTAGTCTTATTTATGTCTTATCTCATTGAAGTTTCATCGTAGTTAATGTTGGTGCACCAAAGTTATCAATTATATTTTTATGATATTTAGAAGCCAATCATGACGTCAACTTCCATAAACTTCTAGACAAAAGTAAGAATATTAAAGCTGACGTTCACGAGGCTCTACAAAGGTAATTTTTCTTTCCAGGGATATCGATTATGTATGTTGACCTGTGCATGTCGGAACATTAAGAAAAATAGTTTTTAGACAATATGTAGTTGTCGTTTCTTGTTTAAGTTGCTCGTGGCTTAGTGGGAAGTATGGAATAGCTCGCCCAAACGAGAAGATGCCGTTTCCTCATTTGTATGTCACAGTTGATTTTAAGAAAGAAAATTCGGAGGCTGCTATCAAAAATGAGATCTATGAAAAGTTAAAATGGAAAGCATCGAAATACATCGAATTACGATCTAAACCATTTAAAGAAGCAAAGTTTCGAATGCTGTCTAAAATTATAGCGCAAAGAACCGAGGGTAGTTTTGGAACAATGACAATGTTCTGCCTTAAGAATGATATGTACTATGCCTTGACCTGTGCTCATGCGGGTGTTGTTAATAATTTGGATGACTGTCAACAAGACTTTTGTGGCGGAGTCCAATTTATGGAAATCCAAGAATCTTTAAATGCCACAGTTAACGAAGAAAGCATGGAATACTTTTACAATGGACAACCGATTGTCCGTGTTCCGGATCAAACGAGAGTGGTGTCTAATGAAGAAGTCGATATTATGTACATTGTCATTGGTAGGGAGGAAGATTTTCAGGAGCTTGCTGTAAATAATCAGATGACTCTCAATTTAGATTTGGATATGCAGTGCCATACAGGCCCTCACCACCTGCATTGCATGTGAAACATCCAACTCCAATGTTCTCAAAAGACATCTGAATCGCCTACACATCAATCCAAATGCATTTTCGACAATTCTTCGTGCTCGTGAAAGTCTATAGTTAAAAACTTTCTCATCACCTATTGCAGTCTGGTGTGGATATGGTTGCATTAGATTTTCATTCAAAGCAAATGCCTCATCTCCAAGCAGAAAGTAAGGTATAGGCAATAATGTATCTCTTAGTTCTTCAGCTTGTGGGAAATAGCATGTCTTGCATATGTTTTTAAGGTGACTGTCTTTAAAAATTCCTCCATCTGACTGGTTGCCATGGGCTCCAAGATCAAATGAGATGAATTTAGCATTTGCATCTGCAAGAGGACTATGCTAAAATGTTTTTTATAGTTAAAGTACTCAGAGGCTGAGTTTGGAGGTGCCTCAAGTTGATATGTTTACCATCAATGTTGCCAACTGCATGGGGAAAGTGCCATTTGCATATAAATTCATCAGCAATGTGTAACCATTGTTGCTTTGTTGTGGGTGGCTTTAAATATTCTTCCTTCAGCACATTATACAAAACTTCACAGACCTCAGGTACAATTTTTGAAATAGATGAAACTGATATTCTGAAACTGTACATCAAATCTTTGTATGAGCATCCTGATGCTAAGAACTTTAATGTTACACACAAGCGATCAAGAACAGATATAGCATCTCTCATAGTGGTGTTTTTCTTTGCTATGAATGGTGTTAACTTTTCACATAGCTCATCAAACAAAATGGAATCCATCCTTAAAAGTAGTAAAGATTATAATTTGTAAATAAAAGTAAAGAAAATAAGAAAATTTCATTATTAAAAAAAGAACGTAAAATTTGAATTGATTGTACAATCTACTGACTAGCTTAATTTTGAAGAGTGCATGAATAAAAAGACTATCACATTTCCTAACTTACCGAAACAAATTCTAAATACATCATGGTCAGTCACTCGGATCTCTTGAATTAAATTTTGTGCTAACCCTTGTGCGTATCGGCGCTGCACAGTTTTCCATGGTTTTACCTACCATCGTCGTGACTTTCGTTTTTTTTTCACTTCGTGCACCATTAGAGATGTAATAATAGATACTGCTTGAAGTTTTTCGGCCTTGGTCAGCGCCATTTTTGCACAAACATTGCATTAAAAGTACGTCGTAAAATGAAGTATGCACATGTAACTGTTCATTATTACAATGGGCGCAATACATCAATCGCTTTGCGAACAGATATATTTACATATATTTTGTGTCGTTTACACGGTCAAATGTATTTGTCGCATAAAAATTTTCATATTAAAATTGCTCCTGTAAACGGGCCTATAAAGAGAGAAAACTGCGTGTCAATGTTCAGTTTAAATACTAATGATTGAAATTTCTAAATAAACATGGCAATTTATTAAACGTTTCTATTTCAGGGAATTTCATTGGTAGACGACCGTCGTCATGGATTTACCTGCAAAAGTTTATAAATAATTCCCGATACTCGCTAAGTTACATCATTTGGCAGGAAGACGTTTCACAACGAAGACAAATTTAAAAAGTAAGTTTTATCAATAAATATCGACTTAAGAAGAATTATAGGATATACAAAATACTCTAGTTTAACTTTAGAGACATAGTAAAAATATGAAATGCTCATGGTTTAGAATAAGTCTTTCTTATTTCCTCCGCCACGTGTTTATTCGTTTTTTAATTTGATATGACAAAACAGACGATACATGAACAATTTTATTCATATGGCTTTGAATTGGTCATTGGAAATATATTGCATTCCCATAATTTTCTTAAGACGAACATCGTCCATCAAAAACGGCATTTTCACAACTTTAAACCGCCATAAAAATGGAATAATTTGATCAAATCAAAAACTTTTTTACTGATACGCTAGAAATCGGACTTGAATTTAATATCGCCAATGATATATGGCCATTGAGTTCTATAAGACCTGGAGGGGAAGCGTGAACAAAATTACTATAAATTATTAGCGCACGGCCGCGTGGTCAAAAACATGGCGGATTTTGGTTGTCAAAGTCAGCGGAAAGACGCGGGCTCATAAAATAAAAATTTTTTCGCCTACCCGGATTTGACCACCACAATTGCGATTATATAAAATAGCAATGCCGAGCACAAAAACTTTTATCAATAAGAAAAGTGTTATGTCAGAGAAACCAATGCACTTTAATTTAAGAAATCGTATTTTCAATGGGAAAGTAATGTAGTTCTGTTCAGTAGTAGATCCATGGTTTTCAATGACAATCCAGTTTCTAATATCTTCGCTCAAAACAGAACCAGCAACATGATTATAGAATTTCTGAATTTCGTTCTTTTGCTTTCTTAGTTCAAGATAATTTCTTCATAAGTTGTCATTAGATTTATCAGAATATCATAATACTTTATAAGACACCCAGAATCAATCCTACCAAAAAAATTCAAAAAAATTACATACCTACTTATAGTATATTTCCAGTCGACTTAAGTCGTAGGGGTAAGCTAACTTTTTCTAACTCCTTTTTGGACATTTTAACTAAGATTTACCCATCTATTCAAGAAAGACAGTTGCACCAAGCTGTTCACAAACAGTCCAAAACACAAGTATTGCCCATGGGATTATGCGTTAAAGCTTAACGACACATTGACAGAGTAAAAAATGCCGTTTGATATTTCTAATATAGCTAAAGCATTACTTGACAAAATATACGTTATTTTATGATAGATTTTCCTCATTTAAATTGGTGGGTCTATTTCACAAAAACCTGAAGCATTATTTTCAATATTTATGCTTACGGTATCATGGTGGTTTTTGCTGGTTGTCATTAATATAAGCAGTAAAAAAAAATCCGGTTCCAGAGGGAGCGAATGTTAAAAATTTTTCTCAAAGTGGAAGTTTTGACAACCAAAATCTGCCATTACCGCCATGTTTTTGACCACGGGGTCCAGGCCCCTTTTCCCCTCCAGGTCTTATAGAACTCAATGTATATGGCCCGTAGATGTAAAATTTGTTTATGTAGCACATAAAAATCGTAAAGTCACGTGTAAGCCACTGTCAAACATGAATAGCCAGGCGTTGTGTATAGTATGATGTCGTTTTATACACAAACACGAAAAATACAATTATTTCTCAATTGATATAAACTATTTGAAAGAATCCAAACAATTCATTTTATATAAAGCTGTAAAACTACATGTGTGGTGTCTCAAACATGATGAGTATTACGTCTACATCAGGACCTAGTAAGTAATGGAATTTTATATGCAAATATTTACACAAACGTAATCTTTATTGCCTTTTAAAATGTTAAGTACAAACAAGAATGCAATGTAACCATTGAGATTTGTTTATATCTTCCTTATTCACATACTTTTGTTAACGGACAAAAATGTGAGATGTAATGAAGAGTGAAATAACTCAGCAAGTATTCCTTTTATCTTGCTATGATGTATTAACCGTGTAATGTAATGCATTTATTTCCAGCTTCTTATGAAAAGATGTCTTTGCCATCTCCCATGAGTGACAACGACTATGACGACATTGATAAAACTCCTTCTACAGCAGTACTTGGTAAGAAATTGTATTTTGTTAGCAAACATTTGCACAAACATCTTTACATTCCCTTTAAAAGTCAAACACAAACAATTAAGAGTTGTTTATATCATGCGTATCATTCATACGTTTGTAAAGGGTCAGATAAGAGAGTTTTAAAATTTGTCATCATGCTGTAATGTTATTTAATTGCATTGCAAAAAATTTATTTTTATTTATCTATTAGATGATAATAACAGTGAAGACATGATTGGTGTTTCGCCTTCCACATCAAAACTTGGTAAGCAAAAGAATTTTGTTAGCAAACATTTGCCCAAACATTTCCATGTTTTTCAACGCTAAATACAAACAATAATTTATAACCTAATAAATTAATTTTAAAAGGTATCGTTATATGTAGCCAACTAAAATCTTTTTATTCAAAAATAATGCAAATGTTGTGGATCAAAATCATGTGAAAATTTTAAACTTTGTTAACATAGAAATTTGATCAGTATGTACAGAAAGTAAAAACTGGCTATAATGCTAAAAGTAAATTGTGAAAACCATCATGATCAACGTGTCAGTTACATGTATACGTTACACGTACACAAATGAACTTAAATAGAATATTGTTGAAAACATCCTTTTAAAACATATTATTTGATTATTGATAGCCAATAAAAAGCCAATAATTCTGGTAAAAAAACTCAAGCTTTTCAGAAGGTAACCTTAAAAACATTAGGTTCTTTAATTCTCCGAACTCTTTTCACCTCGACAGGTGCTTTCATCTTTGATTTTTCAATCTCAATGTTTCCGCATTTAAAGTGAAAAGATCCTGACGTCCCTCAACGTCCTTTGAACTAAATATCCCTCATCCGTGTGTTTAGGAGCAGGGAAATACGCTGTTAATACAAATAAACTCAAGAGAAGGCAAACATGTTATTATGTCATTATTCAGTAGCTAAATATAAAAGTCAGTTCACCTTAACGGGCAAAGCGGTGTAGGTATTTCAAATCTTGTCTAATAGGCACATTTTTTTGATGTGCGTATAATTAGTAAATTAAATTGCTTCTTGATACATTGATTTATTCCTTTCTAAATAGTCTACTTTACTTTTTAATTGAAGACTTGCTGTCTCAACCATGGAAATGTTATGATAAATCAATAATGCACCAGCAAAAGTTCAGAATGATGGAAGAATATGGGCAGAAAAATCCAAGAAACGTTAAACTTGTAAATGGTGTAAAGGTTATTTGTTCTGAAGAGTTTTTGCTTGGTAAAGGAAGTGATGGAACTCGTGTTTACCTTGGACTTGGAGAAGATGGTTATGGAAAAGCAGTAAAACGATTGCTTCGAGATAACTGTGCGGAGTTAGCAGAACGAGAAAAAGAAATTTTGAATGAGTTGAATGCAAAGCGTTCAAATCATGTTGTGAATTATTGGTATCTTGAAAAACAACCAGGCACAGATTATTTGTATTTGATACTAGATTTGTGTGAAGAATCGTTAGAAAGTTTTGTGAAATCTTCTACTTTGCAATATCTTCAAAAAGCACTTCCTACAATTCTTATGCAGATTTTAAAAGGTTTAGCTGATCTTCACAGCGGCGAGCGTCCTATTCTTCATCGGGATTTAAGACCCTCGAACGTTCTTCGAGATGTACAAGGAAATTTTTTAATCGCTGACTTTGGTATAAGTCGAAAATTATTAAATGAAACTTCGACACATCGAAGCATACAAAGAGGAGCTAAAAATTGGATAGCTCCAGAGTCATATGACGTATCAGATGATACAATTAATAAAGTTCGTTACAAAAAAGAGTCTGACATTATGGTAAGTTCTTGAAGTAGAACTAGAGGTCCAACTACAGGTCAATGTTGTTTTTGCATTTGAATGTTGTATTTGGTAGGGATATCATTATCACTGCCACTGATATCATTATCACTTTTAAATAAAATTTTTGTTTACCTCTATTGTACAGTCATATAGTGGCGAAGTACAAATTGTACTGTAAAATATAAAAATATGTATATGTATGATAATGAATTGTTGTTATTGCCTTATTGGTTTTACGATTGTATGTCTCTCATTTAGATTGCTCTAAAAAATTATGGCTACGACTCTTAATTGGAGAACATTATTCTGATTTTTTTTGGCCTAAACTTGTATTTTTTGCAACTAACAAACAAATTAACTCCATTTTTTATTGAAAATAGAATGCCGGAATGGTGGCTTATTATGTTGCAACAAAGGGGAAACATCCTTTTGGAACTGAACGGTTTTTACTGGACAACTTATTAAAT